GACAATTTGCACCACTGCATCTACAAATTAGTTTAATGTGTTCATTTAAGCATAGATTTATCATGATATATATTGTATATATTGTTTCAGAAAAGAAGTGAAACAGGAGAAGTATACAAAAGTAATTGATACATTTCATACCAGGCTCAAAGATGAACTCACCGACATTGTACGTACAGGTTTTGACTGAGGAAAATTCTGTATTTTGCAAGTGTTACAGGGGTGGTAATTAAAGATGAATCACCAAAATAACCTACAGACCCTTTAGTAGAAAAGGAATGGTAATTAAATGTATCAGGGAGGGGGAGCAAGTACTTAGGAATTTTATACAGCAGGTCATTGGTCATTGGAACAGTCCATGATATAACACTGTGTATGTTAGAATAATAAACTGAAAATTTGGAAAGCATCCAGGAAGGAGAAAAACTAGGCAATGAAAAAAGTCAATTGCAGTGTTTTTCTTTTTATCTGTAACAATTCTCTCATTACCCATACTGTCTTCTACTCCTATGCATTATATCCAGCCAGATCCTATCACTTTAATTCCCATTTAGATAGAATCTGAAAAAGGATAAAATTAGATATGTATATGTAAAAATCTAAAAACTTTTAAAATTATTATTTCTTGAATTAAATAACCTTCTTAGATTCTGGTTATTAGAAAATAGGAATTATACTAATTTCAATCTTATGTATTTATTGTAATTATTTACCAAGAAGTTATGCCATATTATTAATTTGTGAATATTTTAATTAGTCTGCAGATGCTGAGAAACTAAAAAATACAAAATTGAAACAAGCACAGGTAAAGTGGCCAATGTATCTTCTTTTAAACTGTATAGATTTTCTTCCAGCAGATTAAAAACTAGCTTTTAGTGGACAATATTTAAAGGAATGGGATGTAATAATACAAATTTTCATTAATTCAGATTAATAGAATATATTCTGTCTGTGACTTTAATACAAAATGAAGGCTTCATGCATACTAATTTGCTCAGTTCTATATGTGTAAACAGGTAGTCCTCAACTTATGACCACAATTGAGCCCAAAATTTCTGTTGCTAAATGAGACATTTGTTAAGTGAGTTTTGCCCCATTTTACAACTTTTCTTGCCACAGTTGTTAACTGAATCACTGCAATTGTTAGCAACATAGTTGTTAAGTGAATCTGGCTTCCCCATTGACTTTGCTTGTCAGAAGGTCGCAAAAGTGATCACATGACCCCAGGACACTGCAACCATTATAAATATGAGTCAATTACCAAGCATCTGAATTTTGATCACGTGATCATGGAGACATATGTGAAAAACGTATCACTTTTTTCAGTGCCATTGTAACTTCGAAGGGTCAATAAATGACTTCTTGTAGGTCGAGGACTACCTGTACTTAATGTTGTAAAATTCTGTTGATTCCAGAAAGGGTTATTTTTCACCCAATGGTCACACTTAAATTTTAAAATACTCTGCCTATGAAAACGCACTTAGTTTTACCAATAATCCTTGATAATCAGCTTCAATGTGAATATTTTGAGGAATGCTACTGTTAGTGATTTTAATAAAGTTGATGAATTGTTATCTATGACTTTGGCTTTATATAATGTTAAGCACAGTGTGGTACATTTTTATTTAGAACTATGCACATGTAGGTTGTAATCTTATTTTTCTTTATTATTAGACAGAATATAAATATTTTAAATAAATAATCTTATCCCCATTACATAAGCAGTTAAATTATAGCTGAAGGGATTTCAGTAGTAAGGATACCTACAGTTGATTAAGTTGATCAAGGAAGATTATTGAAATTATGTTCCAAATACTTCCTGCTTCTTCACAAGATTCTAACTTGGATTAAATTTTATAATAAACAATATGTCTATATGGGTAGTCCTTGAGATACGAACTTAATGGATCCTGCCCATCACAATCGTAAAGTGACTGACTCAAGTTCAGAAACCTTTTTGCCATTGTCATTAACTGAATCACTGCTGTCATTAAGCAAACAGCACAGGCGTTAAGTGAACCGTGGTTTACTATGGGCGCAGTTTTGCTGAAAACTAAAAATAAATGTAGTTTTTGGCAAAATCGTTGTAAAACATGATCACTTGACCGGGGATGCTGTAAATGTGGGCTGGTTGCTGAGCTCCTGAAGTGCAGGCACATGACTCCGTGAGGAAGCATCGGAACTTTGAATTCACATCATAAGTACCCTTAAATAGGTCTGTTGGAATTTCTAATGGTGGCTAAGCGACTAGTTGTAAGTCAAGACTACCTGTATTTTAAAGAAGTAATAGCAGTGATGATATGCAGTATGAAAAGGTAAAACTATTAAGGGACTTCTGGTTTTGCGTCGCGGCGAGATGGGACGCAGGAAGGCAGAGCTCTGCCTTCCGTGCCCGATTTTGCTCTGCTGGGGGCCCTCAAAAGGGCCTAAAGTCGCCCCGAAGAGGTGATGAAGAAGGAGGGGTGCCTTGTCGATCACGGAGAGACGGCAATCTCTCCATTCAATCCAAGGAAAGCCCTTTAAACCGGCAGGGGGAAAACCAGCCACATCTCTACAGCTGGCCATTAGCTGCTGACAATCGAAGAACAAAAGCTTTAATTAGCACACCATAAACAGCATGTTTGGACTGGGTGAGAATACTGATCCTTTCTTTACTATATTACAATTTGAATTTCCTGGGAAAGGCTCCCAAGAAGCTTAAAACCTCCGGATGTGAACGGAAGCTGTGTTTTAAATTTTTTATGGGGGACAGAAATACATAATACTGAAGTGAAAGTAATACAAAGCTACAGTTTTGATAAATCTGATAACTGAGATAAATTGTTAAGATTTTCTCTTTGGAAAAAAAATTATTGAGGTGAAATATAAGAAATCAACCCTTTGTTTTAAGAGTGGAAAATGGACTTTAAATGACATCTAGTGGTGGATTTGAGTACAGACTATAAATAGCTCCTTGGCTGCTTGGTGAATTTCAGCCTAAGGGAAAACAACTGGCAATAAAGGAAAATATTTTGGCATATTTATCATCCTGACCTTCTTGGACTATAAATACCTAGTGAGCTTGGACTTTTAATCTCAAGAGCTAGTGGGAGAGAAAGAAAAAAATGACTTTTGAATACCTCTGGCTGCAAGGAGGTTGAACATTTTGAACCCTCAGAACATTGTGGATTACAACCTTGCCTGACTGATAATTTTCAGGATACTTGAGACAAAGGATTACTGTAAAATGTTGCTATTAGGACTGGATTATAAAGGCTATATATAAAGACCAGAAAACTAGAAGAAATCTTGTTCCACTCTTACTGAGAATGGTGATACTAGAGGATTTCTAGGAATGATGCCTCAAGAAAAAGCAAATACCTTTCAGAAGGAAATACTCTCTGTGCTACAGCAAATTCATCAAACAATTATTGCACACACACAGGACATAAAAAGAAACCATAACGAGACTAAAAATAATCTAGATGATATAAAGGACCAAATCTCCAAATTGAAGCTACAACTGGAAAGCTCCCGGACAACGACTATAAAGTATGAACAAATAAACCAGGAATCAGAAGGCGAAGCAGAAGAAATAGATCTAGAGATAGAGGAAATAGGGAAAGGGAAATATGGACTGCCATACACAAAATACTTCAAGACCTACCTATAACAGTGAAAATACAAAATACTCCTTTCTTCAAAATACACCTGATGACAAGGAAGAAGATTCGAGAAAATGGAACATAGAGCAGGCAGGGGAAATGTCTAGGGAATGTGGATGGGCGGAATTCCTCCCCAAAATACTAAACTGTCTTTCTCATGCCAAGCAGCTTGCACAAAAATAGAAAGAAAATTCTTGGGCGATTTAATTGCCTTGGCCTGGAAAGCTGCTTGGCAAAGAAAGAAAGCGAGAGTTAGACTTTAAACAAAAGAGGATTAAATCTATCAGAGGGGGCACTATATGTTTAACATACCGGTTTGAATATGATGAAAAGAACGGATGACCCTTAGATATAACTAGATTTTTATAATGGAAGATATGATTTAGAATTAAAATAGCATATTTTTTTCTTCTTTTGATATGGGAAATTTGAAAATAGGATTGGTATGAATAAAAAAAGTTTTAGTTATATAAATGTAATTAATATTGAGAAAATCATAATTGACAAAGATACTTTAAATATTGATGAGAAATCAAACCTTAACAAGGGCACGGAAAACAGGATATTGACATGAATTGATATTATTGTTATTTCTATAATATTAGTAAAATATGATGAAGATGTCTGTATCTAATTTTGTATACATCAATAGCACTAAGAATTGTAATTGTTTAATGAGCGGAAAAGGAAAAAAATGTGGGGAAGAAAGGAAGATCAAGGAAAAAAATACTGGATTGTGCAGTACTGAATAGACTTATATTGAAGAAGATGATAATGTTAAATATGTGAACCCAGACAACATGTTGTTTACTAAGCTCTAAAGATTGTAATTTTAAAAAGATTAATAAAACTTATTTAAAAAAGGTAAAACTATTAAGGATTTTCATACTTAATATTTATTTTCTGGCATTTCAGATGGTCAGAAAGACAAATAAGAAAAGAAAACGTTTAATAGAAATTAAAGGAGACCTATTTAGGTATGTTAATAACTTTGCAATTAAGTTTTAGATACGGTTATCACTGAATCCTATAATCCTGTTTTGTGCCAATCCAGTGATATATTCATTTTCCCTGCTCCAGCACATATTTCATTAGCTCCAACTGATTGGTATTTATTTCAGATGTCCTATAACAACTATGCTGCATTAAATCAAATGCATCAGAAAACTGAAACTGCACATTTATGAATGTGGTAAAGATTTTTTTCAAAATTAAAAGAGGAGCATTACTTAAATTCCAGATGCTTCATCCAAACAGGTTTCAAACAGTATTAATAGTTTCTCATCTGGCAAGATTCATTCCTTTCCATCGTAAGCAGTATTTCTGCTTTTCAAAAATTAACCCAAACATAGAATAGTAGGTCTGAGAGATAAATAATTTAAATTCGACACATACACCCCAACTATCCGAAATTGTACTATTAATATAGAGTATCTCACACTGCAAAACACCCAGAACATCTGTCCTATCCCTTCCAGTGTCACCAAGAGTGTCCTATGTTCTTCAGCCAATGAAGGGGGGGAAAATGCTACCAAAGAGTTGTTCACCCTGACTTAAAAAGTGGGTTTCCAATTAGATTTTATATTGATGCAGTAAGTCGATGTACCCCCTTATTTTTATCAGGGCTGAATCAAATATTGATTACCCTCTTGCTGTGTGATAGTTTAGCTTATCACTCTGCTCTTTCAGTTATGTAAACAGTTTTCTGTAAAATAAAAGGAAACCTTAACAAAACATAATGCTCAAACATTTATTTTTGCTAGAAATGAATTAGAACTGAAGAAACTAAAGAAAGAATACAGCAAACTGCAAGAAAAAATGTCCTGTCTCAGGAATGCAGTTCAGTTTATTAAAGATTTAAAGAGTCTTCAGCAAATGAAGAATGAAAAGAAAAACTCACAAGAAAAACTAGTAGTAAGTAACTATTTAATGACTTAGCATACTAGAATCACAGCTGTAGCTACTGCTCCTTATCTTTTAAATACTAACCCTTGCATATTTCAGATAACAAATACTGATAATTGTATTGTTCCTAGGAGATGTAATTTTTCCAGGTATTTGGGGTGTGCTTCAACAGAGACTTATCTGTGTGAAAAAAGATAATCATGCCATGATTCTCCATCCCTGGCATCATTTTCAAATACATATAGTACTCAGCTTATGTCAGTTTTTTCACAGACTGTTCAAAGTTACAGTGGCACTGAAAAAGATGGACTTAACAATTGTCCTAGTTCTGGATGTTGCAGTGACCCCACAGGTGACTATGATGTTGCAATCAGCCACTCACAAGATTGCCATTTGCAGTTTTCCCTATTGGCTTCTGACAAGCAAAGTCAGTGAAGAAGTTAGCAGGGTAGGTCACAAGTAGTCCCCCATAGGTTGCTCCCCTATATTTTTCTCCCCCAAAGAAGGGATCTCATACTCAATAGCACTCCTTGCCCATCTGCACTTCACACCACAGCTCCTCCATAGCCTCAAGTGGCATCTGACCCTATGGCACCCTTTCCTGGGACTCCCACTTCTTCCTGCTTAATGACCCATGCATCCTGGGGTTATGACAGCAACTGGGATTGATGTCGCCCTTTATAATCGCATCACTTAGCAACATTAATTTCTATCCCCATTGCTATCATAACTCAAGAACTACCTGTATCTGAAAAAATAACCTTTTTTAATGTAAATGGTACACATTTCAATATTCAGTATTGAAATTTATGCACTCCTTCATGATCCATGTAGAATGACTCTCAAAGCAACCTTTATTTTCGTATAACCATCTGTTATATATAATAATATATCTGACAATATTCTTATGGGAATATATAGTATTTATATAATCATATTTGATTTGGAAAAGCAAGTGGCATATTGATTATTTTTGTGGTTAGCTTTTAAGTTTTATCAGTCTTAGATAAATGTAAAATTCTTCATCTCATTTCATTTGAGTACAATAATGTTTTCATAGATGGAGTGCAATAACTTTTTATTTCTGGTGTGTAAATCTCTAAGTGCAGAGTCTAGTTTAGGTTCCTTAAAAATGGTTGTTGAGGAATTAAACATTATTAAAGCGTCTTAACCTTGCCAGAAATCCGAGTTTAGGAAGTTAGGAAAGTTCTACAGACATGGGGAATATTGATATATTCAATAACGCGTACAAGTATAAGCAAGGCAGATAATTTTTATTAAAACTTTATTAACATTCTGGTAAAGGTCTTAAGTTCTATGCAGGATGATGCTTATATTCCCCTGAAACTAAGAATACAACAAGTCTTGTAATGGCTCCACTGTTCTCAGATTCAAGGATACTAAATTAAAAAAAATAAAAACATCTGAATAAAATATAGTCTTGCGTATTATGATAAGGCTTTGTTTTCAGACATGCATAACAGAACATGTCAGAGATAGCCCACAAACACAATTGAGATATGGGCAGCATATCGGCCTTCATCACAAAAACAGCATGGACATTAATCATAAGCCCATATATATCTTAAATGTCAGGATTATGGTTTGTTAACTATAAGGACAGGGAAAATGAAAACAGTCTTGACTTGTAGCAATTGCCTGCACAAGTCCATGCTATTTTTTTGGTATCCCTTTGGAAGTGATTTCCTCTTGCCCTCTTCTTGGGCTGAAAGAGAATGGCCCAAAATCAACCAGCTGGCTTTATGCCTAAAGCAAGACTAGAATTCATGGTCTCCTAGTTTCTAGCTTGGGCCTTAAACTAGTACATCAAACTGGCTCTCCAAAAACTTTTGCAGGTTTTCAAATCTAGATCAGAATATTCCCCCAAATAACAGAGGAAATAGACATAAAATTACAAAGAATGAAAATAAAAGACAGAACAAGAAAGAAAAGGCCATCAAGGAAAAGAGGTGCCTAGAAGCACTAATAGAAATAATAGGTCATTGATTTCTGGTTTTGCGTAGCGATGAGACGGGCGCAGGAAAGCAAGACTCTGCCTTCCACACCCTATTTCGCCCTGCTAGGGGCCCTAAAAGGGCCTAAAGTCGCCCTGAAGAGGTGGTGAAGAAGGAGGGGTGCCTTGTTGATCACGGAAAGATGGCAGTCTCTCCATTTGATCCAAGGAAAGCTCTCTAAACCGGCAAGGCAAAGACCAGCCATACCCCTGCGGCTGGCCATTAGCTGCTGACAATCAAAGAACAAAAGCTTTAATTAGCACACCATAAACAGCATGTTTGGACTGGGTGAGAATATTGATCCTTTCTTTACTATTTTACAAATGAATTTCCTAGGATTGGCTCTCCAAGCTTAAAACCTCTGGATGTGAACGGAAGTGGTGTTTTAAATTTTTTATGGGGGACAGAAATACATAATACTGAAGTGAAAGTAATACAAAGCTACAATTTTGATAAATCTGATAACTGAGATAAATTGTTAAGATTTTCTCTTTGGAAAAAAATTATTGAGGTGAAATATAAGAAATCAACCCTTTGTTTTAAGAGTGGAAAATGGACTTTAAATGACATCTAGTGGTGGATTTAAGTACAGCACCATAACTAGCTCCTTGGCTGCTTGGTACCGCTGGCAATAAAGGAAAATATTTTGGCATATTTATTATCCTGACCTTGGACTTTTAATCTCAAGAGCTAGTGGGAGAGAAAGAAAACACTCCCAGGAATCAGTTGTTGGTTTTTAGCATTGTTTTTAAGAATATAAGGAGTGCCCTCCCATTGACCGACACAGGATCCCTGAAGATGCCGGCAGAAAAGCCGGCGAAAGCTTGGGTCATTATTTATTAAAAACTTTTAAAACTTTTAAAGGGTTTTGTTTTCCTGGTGCTCATTTATGTTTATATGTTTTTATTATATATATATGTATGTATGTATGT